TTGGGGTGTACGGTTTTAGGGTTTAGAGTTTTGGGGTTTAGTGTTTAGGGCTTTAGGGTTTTAGGGTTTAGAGTTTTGGGGTTTGGGGTTCAGGGTTTAGGGTTTTAGGGTTTAGGGTTTCGGGGTTTCGGGTTCAGGGGATCAAATCGGCATCCTTCTCCGCCACAGCTTGCTGCAACTTCCCTTCAGCCGTCTTTGTGCTGCTCTGCTTCTCTTTCCTCATTGGCTGCTTGGGTCTGGGGAGTCTTCGATGCCCAAAAGTTGGAAACCCAATAGCCTCAATTGTCCTTAACCCTAAACCCTAAACCCTAAAAGCCCTAACCCTTAAACCCTGAACCCTAAACCCCAAACCCTAAACCCTAAACCCTATAAACCCAAACCTTTAAACCCTAAACCCAAAACCCCCAAACCCCTAAACCAAGCCGGTTTACTTTTTGGGGTCTTGGGCCCTAGGCACAAATCGAAGCTCTTGGAAATGCCGGCGTGCGAGGCCGAGGCCGAAGAATGCCCGGAAGTCCCCGGTTTCGGGCTTAGGGCTTAGGGCTGAGGGTCTGGGTTTCGGGCTTAGGCTTTGGGCTTAGGGCTTAGGGCTTCGGGCTTAGAGCTTCGGGTGTAGGGTTTAGGGTTTAGGGCTGTTTTGATTTAGGGCTTTGGGTTTGGGGTTTAGGGTTTAGGGTTTAGGGTCTAGGTTTTAGGGCTTAGGGTATTCACATGCCTCGGGGTAGGTGCCACACTCCTATTCAGCTTCCTGTCAGGCCGGCTGCTGGGACTCTTAGGTGTGATCTTGGCACGCTGCCCCACAATCGCCAAGTACAGTACCCTGAAGCCTAGCCCTAAACCCTAAACCCTAAACCCAAAAGATATAAAAGCCCTGAACTTCGAAAGCCTGGGCCTGAGCCCTCAAAATTGAAAGCCTGGGCCCTAAATTTCGACAGCCTGGATCCCGAGAGAAGCGAAAAAAACTGTCTGGTGCTTAGTAGGGAATGGGGGAATGGGTTATAGGGACTACTATAAGGGACCTTAAGGGACTATCACCATTTCCTACTAAGCACCAGACAGAAGAAGGCCTTAACCCTGAACCTCTGAGCCCAGTAGCCCTGCGACTGAACCTCTCACAAAAGCCTGAAGCCACAATCGAAAACAGCCAGGTTCCTTCCCCTTAGCATCAAAATAGCCCACAAGCTTTATACAATAGGGTCTTTGGGCCCAAAAACCTTAAAAGATGAGTCCTTGGAGGGTAAGGGTTTTCCTTGAACTGAAGTTACACGTCGTGTATCTTTCGGCGTCAGCTTATGCATCAAAAACCCACCATGAAGCCATAAACCCTAAACCCTAAACCCTAAAACCCTAAACCCTACAATGTCCGTACCAGGGAGAAGCAAAACCGAAGCATTCCTAACTTCTTCGCCGGGTGGCTCTGCCTTGGCCTGCAGGTCCTTTACGGTGGTCTTGGGTTTTTTTGTGTTTAGGCGAAGGGTTTAGGGCTTATAGTGTTCAGGGGTTTATAGTGTTTAGGGCTTGTAGTGTTTAGGGTGTAGGTTTAAACTAAGATAAGCTTTCCGGCTTTCCGCGCGAGTGTTTAGGTGGTGGGTTTAGGATTGAGATTGGAGTCTGGAGCTTCAGGAATTTTAAGCGTTTTTAGCGGTTTAGGGGTTTAGGGGTTTAGAGTTTTGGGGTTTAGGGTTTAGGGTTCGGGGGCTTTTAGGGTATAGGGGTTTAGGGGGTTGGTGTTTGGCATCAGAGATCCTGTGCATTTACCTGTGCCCCACCCCGCCCCACTTGGTTTCTCTCTTTGGCTCCCCAGAAATGAAGCTCCGAAAAAGTAACCAAACAAAGCACAACAGCTGAGTACACCAAACTCCCTTGCATCAAAGCACTACCTTAACCCCAAATATTGTACCCCTATGAAGCATTTCTAAAGGGAAGCCATCATAAAGAGCCCTAGAAAGGCAGGTTCTTCAGGGTCCAGGTAAGCCCCAATGAGACTCGGGGACCCGGTTCGAAGAACGACCTTAGGGAAAGTGAAGGGAGTCTTTCTGGGGTTTTTGAACTCCGGGAAAAAGTCCTTTTCATGTTGCAACACCGTCAGTATACTCTTGGGCTTGAGGTTTAGGGATCATGGTCTTGAGCTTTATGTAGCGAGAGGGTTACGGCTCAAGACTAAGCGGTCAACAGACGAAGGTCTTCAGAGTCCGCGGTTGGGGTTTGAGCTTCGGGTTTCAGGGGTTATTAGGGTTTCGGGTTCAGGATTCAGGGGTTTGGGTTTAGGGTTTAGGGACTCTGATCCTCACGCCCAGGCCCGAAACACTCAACCAGACACAGCAAGCTTCGCAACACAACCAGTGAGTAGACCATCGACACAGCCTGAACGCCTCTCAAGCCATCATTAAAGCCTGTAGCGGCATCCTAAACCCCAAACCCCAAATACCCCTAAACCCCTCAATCCTAGAGTAAACCCGTTATACAGCCCTTGTTAAGAGGGACCGACCCTTACAGCACCCTTAAAAGGAACCCTCTCACACCCCCCCCCTCCTCAACCCTAGACCCTAAACCCCTAAACCCCTAAACCCCACACCGCGAAACCCCCAAACCCTAAGCGCCTAAACCCTAAACTTTAAACCACCCTAAACCGTAAACCCTTAACTTTAAACCACCCTAGACCCGAAACCCTAAACCCCTAAACCCTAAACCACCCTAAACCCAAAACCCTAAACCCCTAAACCCTCAATCCCTCAACCCCTTAACCCCAAAACCCCAAAACCCTGCACCTACACCCCTTAACCCCAAACCCCAAAACCCCTTACTTTAAACCTAAACCAACCCCGAAACCCCAAAAGCCCTTAAGCCCTAAACCCCGAAACCCCTTATACAGCCCGTCTTAAAGCACACCTTAAAGGACCCTAACCCCCAAACCCCAAAACCACCCTAAACCCTAAACCACCCAAAACCACCCAAAACCACCCTAAACCCTAAACTTTAAACCCCTAAGCCCAAACTTTAAACCCTTAACCCCTTACTTAAGCCCTAAACCCTAAACCCTAAACCCTAAACCCTAAACCCTAAACCCTAAACCCCCAAACCCGAAAACCCCGCAAACTTCGGGCCTTCACCGCCTTCTCGGCCTTGGCTTTCGCCTCCTCGGCCTTCCTCCCAAGGCCCAGGAGGGGGGTTTGGGGGGGCGTAGTGTTGGGGTTTAGGGTTTTAAAGCTTAGGGTTTAGGGTTTAGGGTTTAGGGTTTAGGGTTTAGGGTCCCGGGGTTTAGGGTTTAGGGTTCAGGGTTCAGGGTTTAGGGTTTAGGGTTCAGGGTTTAGGGTTTAGGGTTTAGGGTT